TGGTTTGTGAAAAGCATGTGAGTGGCTAGAAAATATTTTCACTTTTTTGCTGTGATTCCCTGTACCGAGCTACCCAGTACGTTCAAAGAAAGAAAGTTGCCTTTTTCTGGCCGTGCCTGGCACAAAGTTGCACCGACTTTGCAAAACCCACTTTCCACCTGCCTCGTTCGTAGATGTACTAAATAGTTTCTCACGTGACTTTCAACCATAAAAAATGGCTTTATTGCTGCACACGTATTCATTAATGGCAGCAATGAACTCACATGTGAACTCCGCGTTGGTTTGGGGTTCCTTGAGGAATGGTATACCTTCTATACCATCTAGAACCCATCCACCCACTACTTGTTGTTGCCGTTTTTGGGGCTGCATTCAGAAATGGTTGCAAGTCGTCTGCACAGGAAGTGCATATTAATTGTGAAAATTTGTGCGGATATTTCCTCGAAAAATAGCTGCCCTGCTTTCTTGTTGCATTTGAGCCGGAGAAATCCATGGCCCGACCTCTGTCATGCTCGGAAAAATATGGCATTAGTTGGAATTCTTGGGAACTGGCGTAATAAGTGAGCTTGGGAAATAAACAACAAGCTAACTTGCAAAGTTTCGATAAGTGCTGCACACATTTATTTCTTATTGACTAAAAGGGTAGAGAATAAGAACCATAATATAAGTCTATAAAATAATTTACATTCTAAAGCATGCAATAAACCGGCTTTTTGAAGCACAACATCTAATTTCAGTTTCTTATTAGGAATAAATAAGTATAGAAATAATAAAAATGTACATTTTTGTAACCTCCCTAACTTCAGAAAATGTTTCTTTCCGATACGGGTTATGGAAATATTCAATATGGAATTGGAAATACAAAACATAGAACTAATAATTATAGATTTATATAAAGATTAACTAATAAATACACATAGACATAATATTACAAAAGTTTAATGCTCCTCAACTTAAGAAAAGGTTTCTTTACGGTTTGGTTTAAAAATTACTCAATCAGTAAAATTGACAAATAATCCGCAGAATCTGTATTAATCCAGTGCAATCTTGACCATTCCTCTTTTCTTTTCTATAGTTTTCTTTGGAAGGACAGAGAAAACGATTTTTATTCAAAACGAGGGGTGTAATAAATAAATTTCCATAATGAATGTAAAATATCGGGATGGTAATGTAAATCACTGAATTTTTCATTGATTTCAGTTGATTCTCCGCCTTGCCCTTAATGCTCATATCTTCCCGTGCTTTTTCCAATTATTCGCGTATTTCGAATAATTCAATGCATCGAATGCCTTCGCCCCTGTCATCCGCTTGTAATTACGTAATAAGGCAGAGAATGTTTTAAAGCCGCTTACCGTTAACAATCGAACCGGAAAACCGGGAAACAGGGAGTCCAGGAAACCGGGAATTACCGAAGAAGAGGCGGCAAAAGTCCTGTCGTCCGGGGCGAAATAACATGTTATTGCACTTTTCTTTTAAATGAATGCAGTAAGCTCAACATGGGTAACACACGACAATGGCAAGGCGCTGATAAAAGTCGGGGTGTTTGCGGTTGGCTCCCTTATCCTGCCGAGTGTCCTTTGCCTTGACAGGCGCCCACAGGATGGCAGAATGCATTTTCAAACCACAAAAATAATTAAAAACTTTACGCCCTGTCCCCGGGCAGCTCTCGCATTTAATCCTGTCAGACAGTCCTGGACGGCAGGACAGCAGGACACCCCCGTGTCGAGGTCAACCGATAAAAATCAAAGGAGGCGAAGTCTTGTCTTGGCCTTTAAACGGCTCACAGCGGTTAATGAAATTGTCTCGCCGCCTCTGACGGACTCTCCGGACCATCCGGATCGATAGAGGGCGGAGGTCCTTATGGCCGGAAGCCCCCCCGTCGATGCAAAGTCGCTTTTTGTCTCCACATCATTGTTTGGTTTTGCCCAGGTTTTCGCATTTCTTTCACCTGTTTGCCAAAGTGCAAAAGCCAAAAGGTTTACGCGCCATCGCGCCCGACTTGTCAAAGGTAGAAAAAACGCGAGAAAGTTTCTGTTTGCCTTGCTGGCGATCTTGAGTCCTGGCCTTCGTTCGGCTCCTGTTTTTCCTTCTGGCTCTGTTAACCCATTTTTAATTTGGGAAATAGATTGCTCTGAGATCAAAGGGAAAAAGTGCCTTTAAAGAATAAAGAGATAAAGATGTAATGATGTTAATATATTGAGATTTTAAAAGGTTACAATTGACTTTACAAAATTCTGAATTTTGTATATCCAAGGCGAATTTAGATAATTATTATAATAATAACAGAGACTTTTTATTTACTCAATACAAAATTTATTACAAAAATATCAGTAAATCATCACTCATATATCAAATAAAGTATGTTCAAAAATAAATACAATAACGAAAAATTTGATATCAGCTAAGTATTATTATATTAGGTTTGATCTTACTATTTTTTATTACTTTTGCTTATGTTAAAAAATAAATACAATACCGAGAAATCTGATATCAGCAAATTATTCTTATATTAGCTTTGATTTTACTCTTTTTAAGACCTTTTTTTGTACATAATTACATTACATTACATATTACGTTCTAAAATAAAAGCGAGAAAATAATATAGCTATTATACTTTTTTAGTACAAAGAACTTTCTTTAAATATTAAATAACATAACCATATTATTATGTGAAAATTGGTAAGCTTTTCATTAGCATTCTGCCAGAATAGATTAAACCATAAATGGTGTTTTTCCTTATACCCGCCGTAATTAATGGAAAATTGGCGCAGAGATGAACTTTTCAGTTCGCCAGGGCCGCAAAAAAGAATCTGGCACTGCGTCGAAATGGGTTAAGGCCCAAGGCCAGAGCGCAGCCATCTTTAACGAAGGAGCCGCCCAGTTTCTGGGGCTTCTGGACATGGACGGGCGAAAGTTGCTCCTCTTAGGCCCGTAAAAAACATTTGCGCAATGTCAACAAATTTGCGCGCTTATTAGATTTTCGTGGTTGCACACAATTTCGCCAACTAAGACCGCCGCAGTGAGATAAAGTGCAGCCTGTGAAAATATGAATAAAATAACGAGAACTTTTCGCCTAGCCCCCCCCCAAAAACGGAAGTGCACCCTGCGTTTTTCTGTGGATGCCACTCTCTCTATATTTCTATCCCTTGGTTCGGACGACTCTGGACTTTTCCACCGATTTCCCGGGCTGCGGTTGACCGGGGGGCGTGGCCCTAGGGGGGCGTGGCACTCCGCCCATTTGCGCGACGGTCACGGTCGCCGGTTCTGCTAATGAGTTTTGTTGTCAGTTCCTGCTGGCCAAGCACAAATCGGGTGGTTGGGGATCATTTGGCTGCTTCATGTCCTTGCCTTTGCGTTCCTTTACTTGGATTTATGCGGCAGGACTATGTATGTATGTATGTGTGTGTAGTAAGTTAATATTTGCTGCATAAATTCCAGTGCGTCGGAATTTACTGCGCTTCGTTTCCCTGCTTTCGTCCTTTTGGCTGGCTCTCCCCAACGTTTTGTTCGCTGTTGTTCTGGAATTATGAAAATGCAGTCCAGCTCCACTCACCACACAGATAGTCCTGCGGGATCCTTGGTCCTCGGTCCTTCCTGCCATGGACACACGAACACAAGAATATTAATTACTTTTTGCATTTTTAGCTCTGCGCCTGGAATTCAAATGAGCAGATTTTAGTTAATTTGTTTTTCAGCACAAATATTTTTTTTAATTTTTATAATTTCAAGCTCTTAATCCGCTGCCAAGTTTTCTGTTTTTGGTTCGTTCATTAAGCGCACTAAGCTCACAAATCCACCAAAAACTGCATGCTTACTTATGGGGGATTAAGTTTTTCAGATGAGCCGCATGGACAAATTGGGACTTGTGTATATTTGAATTAAGTATACGAAAGCTAAGCTTAAGCTGACATGTCATATTCGTTCCTTGTTTTTTATTTTTAATTTTTGTTAGCCAGGGTAGAAATGTATAAGGCCAATCAGACTACAGCGAAAAGGGTTTGACCTAAAAATTGTTAACCATAAACCAAAATTTGGATGTAGTTTAGAGTATCAACTTTGAAAAATTACAATAATGTGTTCAATTAGAATTGGTAGCCTTTGGTTTTCGATTAAAGCTTGTGTTACACCCCCATATATGACACATTAGCGATAACCGACCAGTTATCATCAATCAGAAAATGCGAAATGCGATTTCGCTAATGAGTACCCCCAAGGACCGCAGGCGGAGGGCAGCATCATTGTCCAATATTCAAATGCAAACAGAGAAGTTACTCGGCTGTGTGCACGTCCTGCGGCCGGGATGACAAACGAAAAGCGCTCCAAATTATCCGCACGTTACAGGATAAAAGGCAGGACACCAACACCTCACCAGAACCTAACCCACCGATGAGCTGCGTTTACAAAACAAACAGAAAAAGCCAGCACACAAATATGACACTGAATTGTTTTTCATGTCCGGCCAGCACAAATCGAAGCCACCTGGTTGGGGAGTTTGTATGGCGATCGGGACCAAGAATGATGGAGCCACCGGTTTCGAATTCCATTTGACACATTTTCGCTAGCGATTCGATTTCGTTTGGTTTTGTCATCCTCGCTGTCATTTTTATTATGCTAGTGGGTGTCCCGCCACCACCAGTAGCACCACCATCGCAATAACCATTCGAAACCATATACCCCAGTTGGTTGGGCACTGCAAACATTCGATTTCCAGGTGGAGTGCCATTGGAAATCTACATTGTAAATTTCCGTGTGATTTTTGACCGACTCTTCTTGTGGGAATTGGATTTCCAGTTGAAGACAATGACTTGTGCACAGCAGGCTTAATTTTAAGACAAAGTTTTCAACGCATTTTAAAGCAGTCTAAAAAGCGCTCCCAGCAGTTTCCCAACATTTATGGGCCTAAATACTTGCAAAGGGGAAAAGTTTATGGTCATGTTAAGTTAAAGTTTATATTTGTTTCATTCATAACTGACCTTAAAGGTATATACTACGATTTGGGTAATTTAAAAATCAATTGAGATGTCATACTCGTTCTGGAAGAACTTCTCCCAAATCACTTTGTAGTCGATATCGCCCATGCTCAGGTCCAGTTCCCTATGATCCTGCTTCTCGTCCTTTAAACCATAGAGGATGGGCAGAATATGGGCTATGCCCACCTTGGTGAATCCTCGAGTGGTGGCAAACATCACGAATACATAGCCCGTGGGGAATATGGCCATTTTGACCATTGTTCCCGCCATCTTGTAGGTGAGAAATGGCTGCTTCACGGGATCGTATTTGGTAGCCTTTGGATTTTGCAAGTGAAACTTCCTGAGATTCAGATGGAAGGGCAGACTGAAGGTGGCGTTGACCACATTGAACTTGAGACGATGCCAGCGAGGATTATAGCCCATTTCCTCCAACTCTCCCATCATCTTGATAAGACCAGTTCTGGTGCTTTCACGACTATAACCATGGCAGTACACGTTACCATTGGGATAGATCTTTAGACTGCAAATCGGCGAGTGGCGATTGATGAACACAGCCACTTGTTTATCGCGTTCAAATCTGACATTCATGAGAAGCTCCAGTTCCTCGAGATTAAACTTGCTCGAGGTCATGGCGAAGCAATAGAAGGGCCTACAGGGGTATGACATCGTTTAATGATGTATATTTTATCCAGTTTCCAACTCACTTGTACACTATCTTTAGATAGCGCTCTATGTCCCCCAATACGGACACATCCTCATATATCTTCAGCACTTCTTCCTCAGTTGGCGTTCTTGGAGAAGGCATTACCCAGGATGTTTCCATTTCCAACTCTGCCAACTCCATTTTTGGGCCCGCAACATTATGATCATGTAGACTTCGATTTCGAATCGGATATATTATATCGCCAAACAGAGTGTTCCCTAGCTGTGGTAGTTCCATCGGTTTTGGCTTCTTGAAGCTCTGCACGGGCAGCGGATTGATGCGCTTTAAGTGGGGTCTGCTGATCAATAGGAATTAGTATTGCACTATAGACACTTTTGTCACTGTCACTTACTTCGCAAAAATCGTTTTCATCGTTTTTCTTTGACAAAATCACCAATTGTGAAAAAATATGCTCCAACTTTAGTGAGACCAGATCTATTTAATAGTAAGTCTAACAAATCGATAAAGATTTAAATGCAGCCCTGAACTCATTTTGAGCTTGGCAAAGGCGCGAATTTGAGTTTTAAATGTTCAAAATAAATGGATTCTATTTTTTTAATTTTTTAAAAATAAATTTCCTGTTCAACATTTGTTATTGAATTTGAGTGCAATTATCCGAAATTAAAAGCAAAGCTTCAATAAAATTTGCTATCTGATTGCTGTTGAAAATTATTCTCTCTCATATTGAATTAAATTCAAATTTATTTTTCATCTTTCAAAAATATAAAAGCCAATAAGAAGTTGGCATATTATATTAAAATTCAATGATGCTAACATATCAAAGGTTGTGAAATACGTGGCCATTTTAATTTTCAAAGTGAATTATTTGGCAATTAATTGCCGCACGGCTGAGTTCGCATAGTGAGGCCATTAGCTCACTGATTAAATTAAAACAATGCATTTCGTTGCATCAAAATTTCAGAATCCTCTAACAAACGCAAGCAAACAATCAAAATATCATTCAAATTCAAATCGCAGAAACTGCATAATTGAAACCCCATTGAAGTCCATTAATAACTTTATGCAGCAGTGCAGTTCAAACACACAGACACGAGGAAATCAAACAGCCACCCACCAAACCGAACCGAACTCATATTTCTCAGCCGGAAAAAGGGCGGGAAAGTTGGGGGGGTGGGGGGTGTTGGGCTGAAGGACTTGACGTTAGCTCATCAAACCCGAAAAACCACTTTGCTCAACTCTTTTCAAAGTGCATACATCATCAGCGCTAAGCCAAAACAAAAAAGCAATGCAAAGGGAGCGAAATGAACGATGACGATGGTGGGGCGGTGGGTGTTTTTTGTGGGGGTAAGTGTGTGGTGTTGGTGGGTGGTGTTGGTGGGTGGTGCTGGAGATTGGCAGTACGAAGAGCGTTGAAAACTTTTGTGCAATGTTGATTTTTCCGCAAGAGTCGTTTTTTGCCAGCTCCAGACGGACGGAGGCGGTCTACAGGGTCCACGGAGTAGTCCACGGTCTAAACCGAACGGAAGCCATGCCGCAGGCACTTTATAAAACCCGCAGCTCAGCAAAAGTCTTTCAATAATAATAATATTGGGGCGCAAGAGGGACAACAATGGCAAATGGGTGAAAGTGCTCGGCTTAAGACTCCCCCACAAGCACATATCCCCGGGTCATAGGTGAGAGGATAAGGATAAAGGCCCAAAGAAATAATAAATAGAAATTACATATTTGTGGAGTTACGCTCGATTGGAAAAACACAGTTCCTAACAAATGGTATTAAATAGGTGGCTAATTTTAGGAAAACTACGAGAAAATAATTATTAATTTTGGTAATTGGTATATACAAATTGTAACACCCTCTTATACATCCTATGCCTTGCCTTACAATTTTATCATTCTTCATACTTCTGAGATACATTTTTTGTTTTTGTTATCATTTTTTATTAATAACAGTAATTTATTCCTGTCAAGATATAGAAAGAGTTACATTTTAGTTACATCACTACATTTAAGCCATTAAAAACTAAATTCACTTCCCTTGGATTTAGTGACAGGATCTATGACACCGAGTCCATTAAAAATCAAATGGCAAATCGTGTATTTACACAGCCTTGACTTCGCCCCATACCCTTGTCCTCTAGTGACCCGTGACCTCTTGGCGGGAATGGGAAATTGAAAATGGCCAGGAGTTTGGGGGCTCATACCGGGAATTGGGGTTTGGTTTGGTTCGGTTTGGGAGTGATGTTGCTGTTGGCGCTGCTGCTTTTGCTGCTCAGTTGATGATGATGATGACAAACAAAACAATGGAATCAAAGCGGTTAATGGCTTTTGTGTGTAAAATGAATGAATGCGGCAACGTTTCCTGCTTTCATTTGCAGCGTCATTTGCTCTGGTAGCTACATACCTCCCTTTGACCCCACCCCCTCTTCCTTAACCCTCAAGTGCGGGGGTGAGAGGTCATCGGCTATAGCAGTTTTAGTAACATGTTTGTTTGTCTACACTTTAAACGCACTCGAAGAAAATGGTTTTTCATTGGGAATTTCTAAAAGGAAATCACTAGGGGTTTAAAATCACTTGTGGAGGCGTCTAAAAGTATGCAACAATTCAGTTTAAATCTGGAAATTCCATAGATTTATTGCAACAGGCAGACAACTCAATATTATCTATTCAATTCAATACCTATTTGTTTTGAAAAACACAGACATGACCTAAACAGTTCGTTAAAATTCCACAAAATCTGTAGATTTACTTAAAAATACTTTTTTTCTGAGTGCACACACATTCCCATAGGTAAAAGCTGTTACAAGCGCTAATCGATAAAAGGGAGTAAATTCCTTGCCGATGGAGGCGGGGGATCGGCAGATGGGTAGGGGAAGCTGCATGGGACTGACATCGCCGGCAGTGCAACTCCACTTTCATTATTGGTTTTTTGTTACATCCCTGGCACATGCCACATGCCACAAGGATATGCCCTCGAAGCCTGGCAAGATTTCTTCCGCCCAGCTCTTTGTACAACCGATAATTAAATCGAACAAAGGCTCAGATTTGACAGTCCCTTGCAGTTCCGCTCGTTTATCAACTGGCGAATCCCGAGTGCCTCGTCCACACTGAATGTGTTTCCATTCGAATCCTTGCCACCCTGAGTCGAGAGCTTCTCCTCCAACAATTAGCAGACATAAACAAATGGCTTAGCTGATTCTCAAGAGATCTTTTGAGTTTATTTATATATTTTTATAAAAAATATGGGTTGAATTCGGAATTTCCTACAAACTGACAGCTTAAAAGTTGTGGGTTCACTTGGGATCGAACTAAATAACTTGGCTCTTACTCTAAAGCTAATTTCAGATAGCCATTAAAAATAAATGTATCACAATTTTGTGTTCATAAATAATTATAAAAAATTCTTAAAGCAATTTTAGTTTACTATAGCTGCAAATTTTTAATTAAACTCGAAATGTCAAGACCTCAAGATATATGTGATTAAAAGCCTTAGGCATTTTTGTTCCATAAAAAGGAGGTGGGTTCCATAAACCCCTCTTTAGATACATCATAATGACCCTGCTCTAAAAATGATTTGCCCCATTTCGAATACTTTCCCTAGTCATGGTAAGATAATATTTGCATTATTGGCCAGCTAGTTTCTCCACATAAAGCTCCTCTTTGAAGTGGGAGTAGGGGAAGTCTGGGGCAATCCATTCCGCGGACAGGCAGCTAATTAGGCGATCAAGGACTGCCGGGGGCTTGTCAGAGAACGCCCCCTTGAGCGTCATTAAAGGGGGTGGAAAATCAATAGCTCTATTATTTGGCGGAATGTCGGCGGCCAAAACGGGGCGACTTCGCTTAACTTGACTCCATTCGATGTGTTGATTGACAGCCTAATTGAGGTTTCTTGACTTCTTCAATTGGGGGTAGGCCATCGACCGTTTTCTGTTTGTGCTAATAATAATATTGTTGTTTTAATATCGGGACAGCAGCAGCAGCGGCAGTAGGGGAAAAACAACAGCTTGTTTAGTTAGTCATTAGACGGGGGGTTAAAGGTCTCACACTTCGACCGCACCAAACACATTAAATATTTGCCGAAACTCGCACTTGATTGCCATTGTTGTGGGACTTCCGTTTTAATTTTTTATTGATTCAACTGTTTAATGTCAATTGCTGTGCAAATACCAATCAAACGCTTGGTTTACGCAATTAAGAAGCAAACACCTCCCCAGCTGCAGACATTTCCCCGTTCCTAATTAGCATTTACATTGCGTGCAACATACTGCAAGACATAAAATTAACGCCAGAACGATGTGTACCGCCCCCTTTGGATTGATTCCCAGCCTTCAATTTGAATTTCGGACAAGGCATTCGATGAAAGTTCTGATGGGATGGTCATTAAAAAGTCTGAGTGGCCAACAGAGTCGGGCTATTCACAACTTTTTGTTGTGCCCAACTTTCAAAGGGTTGATTGAACTCTTTATTCGTGGAAAAAATAAAGCACCACAAATAATACAAAACCTGGTGAGAAAAGTTTACAAACATTTATTCGTTGTTTGGTTCAATGTCCCATTGATGGGAGGACTGCAAAACGACGCGGAACTTCCGTTTGTGGACTCAATTATGTGGCATATCAATTGGAAAAAGTTTTTGCTTGTACTAGGAATTTATAGGGATTATTTAATACCCTGACAGAAAAACTAGTGACAAAATTTAAACAAATTTAAATTTTTTAAATTTAATTAGATGTGAACAGTTTTTTTCTAAGAATTAGTGGCACAGGATCACTTTAAAAAGCGCCCAAAGGTATGCAATGAAAAGCTAGACCGCAATAAGAAAGAAGCATACTTTTAGACACCTTTATTGTTGATTTAGAACTCCTTTCCTGATTTTTGTGGCACCCTTAGATTTCTTGCCGTGGATTTTATTTCATGTTCCCTAATAAAGTGTAGACCCGCAGACAGTTGGCCAAAGAAAACTATCAAGCCGAAATAATCTCCAACGGAAAACAGCTTTCTAGTGTTTTAAAATGATTTCGAGTGGCACTCATGTGCTGCAAAAAAATTTCAAACACAGCGCGATTTCCGTTTGTGCTCATTCAAATCACATGCAAAAACTGTCTAGCATACTTTTTGGCACTTACACAAGTGCAAACGCCAAGGAGTCAAGGCTTGGAACAGTTCCAGATCTGCTGAAAGCCAGGTCCTTTGGCTTCGCGGGGGTAGGACGAGGGGCAGAAAGGAAATCCAAGCCGAAACGGAAGCGCATAGCGCTGAAATAAAGTGTTGCATACTGTTCGGGGCAACAATAATAAAATATTGCATATTTTGCGGCTACACCAAATCCAAGGCAAGCAATCCGTTTTATGGCACTTGGCACGAGCATATTTACTTTGGCCTTAAGCTTGCCACAATATTATTTATTACACAGCTCTGGCACAGATTTTAATCGCTTTTTTTGCGGTCTTATTTATGGATTTTAAAATGCGTT